GTTGATTGCGCAATCGTTGTAACACCTCTAACTCCCGCTGCGCCACCTGCTGACAAAGCTAGCGGCTAACCCCATTGTGAAAGATACAGGTGTGTACCAGCACTGCATTACACTTTTGGCCTTTCTACTTACATTGTTAAAAGAATTATTTCATAAATAACTGCACTGTCGAGAAACATTTCAAGAAATATTGTCTTGCCTAATAGCAAACATGTTACTGATTACTCCAGCATAAAAATTACCATGAGTTTATGATGTTATGGTACATAAAATAGCAAATTATGCATCCACATTCTTTCATATAGCCACAATTCGCTTGAAATCAGCAACCACCACACTGCACACAAAACATGCATCTCACTAAGTGGTGCATTAGTTCTATACTAGTAGCAACATCTGTATTGCTTAATTCAAATTTCCATGCCTAAGTACAGGCACAAGGTCTCGCGAGAAACAAGTGGCATCATCAAGTAACCGTGTCAATACGATGTAAACAGGTTTCATTATATATTTTTGTGAAAATAATGGTGTACGATTGTTCCAAGGCATGTTAGCCTTACTTTAAACACTTGCTGTTACGCAAGCAATAAAGGAAGGTACTATATATATATAGTGGCCGGAAATATATTAGAACACTTAGGAACCGTTTTAAATCCTTGTTTTAATGTGTGCCAACGCTTTCGAATGTATCTGCCGAGTTTTAAATGAAACAATATTGCTTTAAAATTATTATCTTTCATTTAAATAAAAATAATAATAACGCAGACAAATTAGGTCTCGCCCATTTGCGAACATATTACTGATTACTCCTGTGTAAAAATTACCATGGGTTTGTGCTGTTATCTATATATATATATAAAGTTGTTCAGCCAAATTAGTGTGTTCACGCATAACTAGAGAACTCCGCAGCCTAGAGGAAAACTAAATATATTTTCAGAATCAGCACGTCTAAGAGGTGAAATTTCAAAAAAGTTAAAAAGTTAAAAATTTATAAAAATTCTATTCATCAATAGATGGCGTACAGATTAACATTATACATCACGTACGTGTGAATCCATGGTGTATAACCATAACGGCTCAGTAGCCGAATGGATAAAGCATCGGACTCCTAAACCATTCATTCTGGGTTCGAATCCCACCTCGGGAAATTCTTTCTTTTTTTACATTTGGACTGTTTAGTATGTACTTCTGCCGTATTGACCGTTAATTTCAAAATTTATTTTTTTACTACATTTAAACGTTTAGTAAAAATCCAGAATAAACTATGGTAGATGATAATGATAGCGCAAACTGACCGGTATACTTCACGGAAGCCTATGTAGGTTAAATATCAAATATTATATTTCCTATATAATTTCATTTTATTATTTATAATTTTTGACTTTTATCTTTTGATTTCTTCTTATTTTTTACTGTTGGGATGGGATGGGATGCCATGCGATGGGATGGGATATGGAATGGGATGGGATAGGATGCGGTACGATGGGATGGCATGGGATGGCATGGGATGGCATGGGATGGATGGATGCATGGATGGATGCATGGATAGATAGATAGTTCGATTTTTTGGGGCATTTTCCTTTCAACCAAGCGGTCACCAACTGAGTAACGCCACTGATTTCCCCAGGCAACGCCGGGTATCCCGCTAGTGTTATATAAAATAAAAAATAAGGCAACCACATTCTTCTGTGTTGCGATAATTCCCATGAAATTAATAACCGCCATACAATATTACAAAAGTGTATCTCATTGAGTGATGTATTAGTTCTGGACTAGCACAGCGCCTCTTATTACATAATGCAAATTATAATTAACAAAGTGCAGGAACAATGCCTCATGAAAAACAAGTGGCATCATCATGTAATCGCATCAATAATAAGTCAACAAGGAAATTTAAATCATTAGATATTTTTCTAAAAGTAACCATGTACATGTTTTCTAAGACATGATAGACAAGTACAGAAAATTTTGTATGCAAGCAATAGGATGGAATGGAATGGATGGAAATAATATGGAATGGGACCTGATATCTTCTATTGAAATCGAGGTACAGGATAAACTAATTTTTGACTTCAACAAAGCAGATTATGCAGGAATGAGATCATGCTTTTCAAACACGAACTGGGACAAGTGCTTTGAAGGAAACTCTATAAACGAAAATTAGACAACATTCAAGAACATCTTCCATGACGCTGTAGACAAATTTGTACCAAAGAAACAAAGTATAGCAAACAACAAACCAAAATGGATAACCAAACAAGCGTTTAATGCAAAGACTAAGAAAAACAAGTTTTAGAAAAAATACCAGCAGTCCACAAACCATCAAGATTACACTGCATACAAATCAGCACTTAACGCAGCTACCAAAGAGATAAGACATGCCAAAAAAAGCTTTGAAAAGAAACTTGCTGAGAATATCAAATATGACACTAAATCATTCTATGCCTACACTAGATCTAAGCTGAAGACAAAAGACAGAGTTGGTCCTCTCACAAATTCTGATGGCAGCACTATAAGAGACAACACAGAAGCAGCTAAACTACTGAACAGTTTTTTCATTTCAGTATTCACAGACAAAGACATCATCAATTTACCCAAACCAGTTCAACTGTTCACAAAAGACAACGCATTGCAACTCAGCAAAATACTTCCATCTGAAGATCTATGCAATACACAAAAGTCTCTCCAATGTTAAACCAAATAAAGCTCCTGGCATAGACAACATAGTGCCAAATGTCATTAGAAAAGTAGCGAAAGAAGCTGCAACTCCAATCTCAAAAATCTTTGAAAGCTCCATGAATGATGGTGTGGTACCTGACGACTGGAGAAATGCTAAATAAAGTGACTCCAATCTTTAAGAAAGGAAAGTGCAGCTTAGCCAGCAATTATAGACCAGTTAGTCTAACCTCTATAATATATGTAAAGTGTTAGAAAGTCACATCAGGGCAGCCATAGTAGACCATCTGAATCATCACAAGCTAATTAAAGACTCTCAGCATGGGTTCATGAGTGGTGGGTCATGCCAAACGAATTTACTGGAGTTCCTCGAACTAGTGACGAAGTATGTAGACCACGGAGACCCTGTGGATGCAATATACCTGGACTTTTCTAAAGCCTTCGATAAGGTACCCCACAAACGACTTATCGACAAACTGCAAGCGCATGGTATCACGAGACAGGTCAGTAGATGGATAGAGTCATGGCTCACAAATAGGAAGCAGCGAGTGGTCCTAAATGGGAAATTTTCAGATTGGTCACGGGTAACAAGTGGTGTCCCCCAAGGTTCAGTACTGGGCCCAGTACTGTTCCTGATCTACATCAATGATATAGACGAAAATGTCACAAGCCATATATTAAAGTTTGCAGATGATACCAAAATATTCAGAACAGTATCCACAACAGCAGACACTGAAGCACTGCCACATGACCTGCAAACGGTACTAGGAATGGTCCAATGACTGGCAAATGTTGTTCAATGCTGACAAATGCAAACGTATCCATTACGGTCACAACAACCAAAAGCATGAATACAACATGAATGAGCACATCTTGGAGCAAGTACAACAAGAGAAGGACCTTGGAGTAACCATAACTGAATCCCTTAAGAACAGTAAGCAATGTGCCATAGCTGCCAGTAAAGCGAACAAAATACTGGGAATCATCAATAGAACTATAACATATAAAGACAAAAAAATCATTTCAGCTTTACAAATCACTGGTTAGACCTCACCTTGAATATGCTGTCCAATCTTGGAATCCCTATTTGCAGAAAGATATAGTGTTACTGGAAAAGGTGCAAAGAAGGATGTCGCGTATGATTCCAGAAATTCGTCATCTTTCCTATGAACAAAGACTAGAGAAACTAGGACTTATAACACTGGAACAGAGAAGACTAAGGCCGACCAAAAAATTTCCTTTGGTTCGGGTCACCCGCCCGACTTCAGACTTCGGAGTGATAAAATGTGCGACTGCGGTCACTTTTAGAGGGTTTCAAGAAAAGATAAAATTAAAAGATACCGCCTGCCGATCACACATATTCAAATATCCGACTATTGTCATTTTATTTACCTAAAGAGAGTTCCAAAATATTTATAAACAGAACTTCGTTGGCAAGAAGTGAAACAGTTCGTACCTACGTTTCTTACAATGTGAAACAGTCAAATATAACCTGGGCCGGCTACTTCATAAACAGAGCCTGAAGGTCGTATGGCGCGGCGGCCGGCTTAATTTTGATGTACGCGATCGATCATGTACTATATTATAGTATACGCATGCTATCGTGCTATACGCGGCCGCAGAGCCGTTTACACTTCGGTTACTGGCTCGTTCAAAGGGACGATTAATCGAGCTCCGTTTTTGGAGCGATTCCTAACACTACTATCCAGTACACGACACGAATACCAGTACACGACACCAGTAAACGACTGGTGTTCACATTTTGAAAACAATGTCATGACTTGCAGCAATGGTACATGCAACTGCAAGTCATTTGCATCTCGTGGCTCCTGCATTTCAAGCTGTATACCCTACATTTAACTTGTGGGAAAAAAAATATATATTCCTGCCTGGCCTACCCATGTTTTTGCAGGGAAAAAAAAAAAAATAATGTTATACCTACCTACCTACCCTAATTTTCACAATCCATGTGACCTGAACCAAAGGTATTTTTTTGTTTGGCCTAAGAAGAGACCTCATTTAAACTTTCAAACCAATGAATGGCTACGAAGTAATTGACCCTACATAATTCTTTACAAGATCGGAATACAACAGTACTCGTGGCCATAGCCTCAAATTGTTCACTCCGTGTGCACGACTACAGTTAAGGAAAAATTTTTTCAGTTTAAGAGTAATAAATCACTGGAATAACCTGTGAGAAGCAGTACAATCTAAATCAATTAACTCATTCAAAAGCCATGTGGATGAATATGTAAAGATGGGGGTTTATACAAGACAGTAGGCTTCCTACCCTTCGATCCACTCCAAACCTATAGGTGAGGGGTGGAATCAGGTAAATCAGGTAAATAACAGTAAGTATTGTAATGGTTAGAAAAATACGAAAACAGTTTGGACAACTGTTCGAAATCATCTTTATTGCAGGTCGCACCATTCTATAATGATAAAGGAAGTGTCTACTGCAACGGTACCGTCGCCGATTATTTTTCTCTTAAAGTCACGGTACTGACGGTACTGACGCCTGATTGGTTGAGCTTGTTTTCTCGCGATATACATAGCACATCCAAAATTTTAATTTCAATATGTGGCAGCAGCGCAACGGTTAGAGCGCTTGCGCCAAGTATGAATGGTCGCGGGATCGAATCCCATCCGTTTTCTAATTATTTTCCTGTTTTCTGTATTTTTCTATCTTTATCTGTTTAACATTTTTTTTCCAATTAACGCAAATATTTACATTATTTATTTACAACATTTTAATAACAACAATTAATTTTTACAACAATTAAAATTAAATTTTATTAATTTAATAGAGTTAGGGTTTAGGGTTAGGCTCTAGCGGTTCAGGGTTTAAGTGTATGGCCCTTAGGGTTAGCGGTTAGGGTTTAGGGTTTCAGGCGTTATCGCTTATATTATAGTATAAAATCGTATATATATAATATCGTACCAAAAGCAACGGTAGTTATTATTCGCCGATAGATGGCGCTGGCATCACTACCGTGACTTTAAGAGAAAAAAAATCGGCGACGGTACCGTTGCAGGAGCAACAGCCAATGATAAAATGTAGGTTAATTTATTAATTTGATCATTTTTACTTAAGGGATCAATTGAGGAAGAAGTATCATTGTAAAATCATGGATGTAGTATTTCATTATTCTGAATTGGAGAGTATGGGTGTTTGAGTGTTATGCAATTTCATAGTGTAATTAATATTGTGTGAGTCACATGAGATGTAGTATTATTGTAATGGATATCTGTACCACTTTTGTCACTTTGCCACTACGTGTCAATAATGAAAAGACATAGCATACTGTATACGTTACATTTTGTAGTTACAGTGTTTAGTGCGTACTTAACCCACATTTCGTATGGCCTAGAGTCCGGTATTGTAGGCAGCACTAGGCTTAGCTCTAGTACTATAGCCCGCAGATAGCTGCCGCGGGCCCGCTAGACTGTTATTAGCCCGCTAGCCTGCGGAAAAATGGCTCAGAAAACTTAAAATGATCGGGCTTTTTAACACTTATCTATCAACATGGACATCTCACCTATCTTTTTAAACACTTTCCACACCTTTACACCATGTATTTATCCTTTTATTACTCAAGTCCGCAATACCGGTGACGTCATGCGTTCGCACGCCAGAATATTTTCAAACGAGATTGCCAGTAGTGCTGACTTGAGTAATAAAAGGATAAATACATGGTGTAAAGTTGTGGAAAGTGTTTAAAAAGATAGGTGAGATGCCGAGTAAGTGTTAAAAAGCCCGATCATTTTGCGTTTTCTGAGCCATTTTTCGTGGAACCAATCGGGACCAAGTGCAGAAGCGAAATCGAGCTGACAATGTTTTATAGTCCTGCGGCAGCTATCCGCGGGCTATAGTACTAGAGCTACACTAGTGACTAGGCTATGCCATAAACAAGTACTGGTAGTGGTAGTGGTAGTGGTATAGTAAACTGGTAATATAAACTAAAACTGGTACCACTACCAGTAACTTAGTACATAAACACTACATTCACAATAGCAGTGATAACAGCTTACCATATCCCTCTATACTACTACATCTAAATGCTTGGCTTCATATCTTGTAAAGGAACTTTCACATAATCATTATAAGTGCCCCTGATCTTTATTAACTTGAGAAGTTGAGTAATTTCTAGATTTGTCTTGATTGCTCTGTTGAAGCATTCAGCAGAACTACAAAAACACGTTTAATGATTCGTCAATGGTAGGCCTATATCGTTTAGTGTAAATTAATTGAGAAAAAACTTACTTACACTAACATTGGTTGTTAGTATAATTAGCAATAATAATTATAAGTTGAATGGGTCGTACACTACATGTTTACTATCAAATTGCTTTCACTTTCAGATAGATTAATTTCATCAAATCAACACGTCATCTGATCACATGGCCCCGGTTTTGTGCTGTCCTATAATATGGTGGCCCCCATCTTACAAATAAATATATATACTCGGAAAAGATCCCAATTTCAGTGAAAAATTAATGATTAGTTCTGCATGTTGAATGCGATAAAGCTTTACGACTCATTAACAAAATGTCTTTTGTTATCGACACTGCTATTATTTTGTTTTCCCAGGTATTTACTCTTATTCGTTTAATTCATTCAATTGGCAATTGCGTAGCGCTAGACTCGCAGCTGAGCTAGGGCATGCGGTACCTCCCAAATCCCATTGGTTGATACAAATCACGTGCCTGAATCTCCTGTTTTAATAAAACTGTTATCATTTATGGTGCATTGTGACCATAGCCCTAACCCTAACCCTAGCTCTACTCTAGTAGTAGTACTAGTACTATAGCCCGCTTACATTGACTGCCGCTGGCAGCGGCCGCCGCAGCTGCCGCCAGCGGCAGTCAATGTAAGCGGGCTAGAGAGTACAGAAGTGTGACGTCACGTTGTCAAGACAACGTACGGGCTGGTTCTACACAAACCACTGGCTCCATATTACATTAACTGCGTGAAAATGTTGTGCGTACGTAAAACACGAGTGGGGTGCAAATACACTTTATGACGTCCTTCTAACCCTAACCCTAACCCTAACCCTAACCCTAACCCTAACCCTAACCCTAACCCTAACCTATTATATTGATATAATATTATATTTATATTGATGTAAAT